CAACAAAACATACTTTTAGCCCACTTCAATATTTCTCCATGAAATAGCCGAATGACCTTGAAAATGAGGGTCAAGGTCAAATTTGACATTTGATTTAGAGGTTTTGGGTATATGTTTGGGTTAGTTTACTATAGCATGCCATGACCAAAAACCAGTGTTTCATGGAGAAATTGCCAAACTCAAGATTTCTGCAATGTCATAAATATTTAAAAATCTATATTAAAAAAAGTAATTAGGCAGTCGCTACCAAAGTACAGCTAACCTTAGATAAATATATAGGGCATCATTTGCCACTATAATCGGGGCTCTGGGCCTTCTGGTTTTTGAGATCTCGGAAACAAACCTTTTTTGAGCCTGTTTGGCCATTAGCGACCTTGACCTTGACCTACTTGCATAAATGTAGGTCATTATCTGTGAATTTGGCTCAGTATCATTGACCGTAAGCCCCTTAGCCATATGGCTTATACTTTAGGCCTAATGGCAATTTCAAATTTTACAAATTTTGCCTTAAAAAGCTCCTGTGACCTTGAAAAGTAGGTCAAGGTCACTGAAACTGGGTCTATGGCATATTCTTACCATAGGCTACCTATGTAAATTATTTCAGATTTTTTGCGAAAAAAAACGCGCAGAAAGAATAACTATAATAATAATACTACCAAAAACAATAGTATTCCCCTATGGGGAATCCTAATAATAATAATAATAATAATAATTTTTTTAAATACCTTTTTAAACTAGTGACCACTATGACTGCAGTGTCATGTCAGTTTTGAACGAAATGAACAACATACCATCATATTCCTTTGGTAATTCATTTTCAGTGCTATCAAGGGTTTTATTTTTCAGATACCACACCAATATTATACAATGACCACAGGCTGTCTAGAGGCAGTGATGTTAGCAGTGACAATCCCCCAGAACTGCCACCAAGGACACCTACACGTGTGGGAGATGGGGCACACCCACTTCACCTGTCTAGAAACAGTTCAGGAGACATGGCTGGATCACCTAGGTCAGAGAGTGGGTTTGGAGGTAGGTACTTCTTTTGCTGTGCTCTTATTTATTGACACTGAGCCCAATGTTAATGGGTTTCTTTGAAATTTGCATTAATACCCACTGGAACCATCAAGGGGCATTACAATGCTATCAGACAATTTATGAGATATTTGTCATTTTGAAAAATCATTTGCTTTGGATAAAGAAAACAATTGATTTCTTTTGCCTAGCAATGTATTATTTTACTTGGATAATTGCAGTTTAAGTTAATCAGATATAGTGGTGAATAGAAAGCAGTCTTGCCACTTATGTTTTTTTTTCGGTACCATATCATTTCTTGAAGTGAAATTCATTAATTCCAGAATTTATAGCAAGAGAGCCCCTTGGGCCTGATTGTTATGTGGATCAACAGCTTCGAGAGTACCCCTGGTTCCATGGTACCCTATCTCGCATGGAGGCTGCCCAGCTAGTGTTACAACATGGGGCTGATGGCCATGGGGTGTTCCTGGTTAGGCAGAGTGAGACGAGGAAGGGGGAATATGTCCTAACTTTCAACTTCCAAGGAAGAGCTAAGGTTTGTTTGCATTTTTTTCATCTTTTATTTATTTAAAAAAAATTTTAGAAAGCTGTGAGTAAAATGTTCATCATACCTCATTTGCTTGTAGCCATGGATC